ACAACTGCAGTTTATGAAAATTGATTGACTGTGATGATAAACAATTTTATGTAATTATTATACGGTAAGGTATCATTTCAGACAAAATACTGCCAAAGATAAAGCTTTAAGTGTTGAAAAACAGAAAGAAAAAAAAAGAATTTAAAGAAGTAAAATAAGTAAACCATTAAATGATTTAGAACCCTTTATGTGTCTTTCTAAAGGTTTCTGAAATAACGAAAACTGTAAATTTTCCCAGGCTTCCTTGTTCATTCAAGTTTGATCAATAATCATGTTTTTTATTTGTGTCTGGCATAAATCAAATTTCATGAACAAATCTTGCAAAGATCAGTTCCTTTGAATGGAGTTTTGATCACCTGTAATGAGCATACCTTAATGACCACGGACAGTTCCATATTAAGAAGCAATGATTGGACATCACATATGTTATGAATCAATGAATAGGTGAGAAATAGGGGTCATATGTTGAAAAGAGTATGGGGACTCCACGTCTGGCTGACTTGTGGTCATAATCACAACATTATTCTACTGGAAACAATAAAACACAAGACCTGTGCCTTTCCTATAATCATGGCTTTTATCTTTGAACACTGAAATACTTAATACCAGACCCTGTTTGAAATAATTAATAACTAACTCTTTTTCTGTACTGATGACAGTGTTATGTCCCTAAGCTACTGTAACAAATAATGATTTATGATGCATTCTATTTTTGCACCAATTTTTATTCTTTTAAATGCTAACTTCAATTTTTCTTATAGGCATACTATGTCCTTAGCAAAGAATAATTATTTCTTTCTTTAGAAAAGGCACACATGTGTTTTATACTTTAAAAAAATTGGGTTACTGATCAATTTAGATGCTTAATATCACTTGAAGAAGATAGTGAGTGCTGTAATACATTGTCATAAAAGTAGCAAATTTAAACTATTTAATACTATTTTGGCTTCCATACAAAATACTAAGTCACTATAACTGTACTTATTTGTAAAGGCGACAGAGACAAATGATGGCTCCGGTACCGGTAATTGGACAGGCCATTAATATTTTGGGAACTAAAACAAAAGTTTTTACAAAACAATAAAAGAAAACAACTTTGGAAATAAAAATTAAAGCATTTCTGGGGCATAATGGGCCTTTTCTGTGGCATTATGGGGCTTTAAATAGTTTCATTAATTGTGATATTAAATTAATAAACTATAGAACATAACATTATAATTGTGATACTCTCTAATTTTACAATTTTAGATGCCAAGTATATAATCTGTAGAAGTTTTGATCTGGTTTGCGAACATTATAGACGTTGATATTTTATGGCACAAAAATCTTCCTCGTATATGTCTGACAATATTTAATTGTAACGATCTCGATTTTCACATTGTCACTGAATATGTGCAAATAAGATAGTTATTATGAGCTACTATTTTACTGTAATTAGCTATAATTTGTTAAAGGGCATTAAAATATTATAAGCTATAATGAATGTAATTAGAAATAAAGAAAATATTTAGTTACAATGACTCAGCACAATCATTTTGATATACAGTAGGCATTGGCGCTAACTAAAAAAAGAAAATTCCTTAAAAGGAATTGAAAACATACTGTTGAATTTTTTAAACCTGAATTTAGGTAAGTTAATTTATCTATCTATCTATCTCTGGATACTGCCAACCCCTCTTACGAGTGTTAAAGGCAGGAATTTAGTGCACGTCGGATTGTTAGTAAAAGGTGAAGAGAAAAGCTAAAAAGAAAAGTCCAAACATTGACATGCTTGGAAGGTGAGACTGAAAATGTATTCTAGTCATGGTTAAAATGTTAATAGTGAAACAAGATGATAAGAGATAAAATGGTTTAAAAACACTGGGAGTAAGACTAGTACTGCAAACCCACCACTGCCTGTTTGAACTGACTCAGGTTGGGCAGGGTGGCAATGTTACTAGGAAGTTTATTCCATAGTATAATGCTATGAGGGAAGAAAGAGTACTTATGGTAGTCGGAGGATACCTGTATTTGACGTAGGGATAAGGGATGCATATGTCTGGTTAATCTATGTGGGGTTTGAACATAAGTTGGGAGATTAATTGCAACTAGGTTATGGTATATCTTATAAAACATTATCAGTCTACAGTCCAATCTGCAATGTTCAAGGGATCGCCAGCCCAGTTCTTCCTGCATGGCTGTGACACTAGAGTGAGGGGAGTAATCCCTTTTAACCCATCTTATTGCACGTCTCTGGATCATCTCAACTTTGTCAATATTGGTTTTAGTATAAGGAGACCAAATAGATGAGGCATATTCAACCTGTGGGCGGACCAGGGACTTGTATGCTAGTTCTTTTACTTTCTCATTTTTAGTGATGACATTTCTTTTAATAAAGCCAAGGGATCTGTTTGCATTGGAAGTTATTCGAGATATATGTGTATTAAATTTAAGGTCAGCAGATAGATCTAGTCCGAGATATTTAGCATTTGTAACAGACTCTAGGATTTGGCCATGGAGCATATATTTGTGTTTAATTATGGTCTTATTTTTGGTGATATGGATGACTTGGCATTTTGAAGGGTTAAACTCCATGTCCCACTGCTTCTCCCACAGAACCATATTGTCTAGATCATGTTGGAGAGTTGGGGGGTCTGAGGAGGAATTGATGGTTAGGTATACAGCAGTGTCGTCTGCAAATAATCTGACTTGGGATTTGAGGACAGAAGATGGTAACTTGTTGATATATAGAAGGAAACAGAGGGGCCCTAGGACCGAGCCTTGGGGCACTCCAGAGGTAACTGGGACTTCAGATGAGCAGTCACTATCCACAACTACTGTCTGTCTACGGCCAATAAGGAATGACTGTATCCAGTTTAGAATTTGAGGACAAACACCATGTTCTTGCAGGGTATCTAAGAGTTTAAGATGGTTTACTTTATCGAAAGCTTTGGAGAAGTCAAGAAGTATAAGATCTGTTTGTTTGCCATTTGAAAGGTTGTTCACAAAGTAATCAGTAAGTTCAATGAGTTGTGTCTCACATGATCTTCTTTCTCTGAATCCATGCTGAAGATCAAAGAGTATGTTGTGGGTGGTAAAGTGAAATGAAATAGTCCACTAAATTCAAGTAAGATCTTTTAAAATCAAAGCTTTTCATTTTCTTCTTGTCTTGGTAAGGATACGATTCCTATGGATAATATTTTTTTACATGTTTATATTATAACTGTTTTATATTGTCTGATAACAAGAGATGTAACAGATTCATGTAACAGGTAAAATTCTCTTGCAAGCTTTGATTTGATTGTAAAAATGTGCATTCTTTAGTTGCAATGGTTTGCTTATTTCTTTACGCGATGTATATATATATTAGCTAAATCGCACGAAAAATCGGCACACCGCAGCCAGGACTCAAACCATGGGTCTCTGGATTGCCGGTCCAGTCTAACCACTACACCCCAGTGGCCATTGCGTTTTCTTCTTGCTAATTGGCCTACTTTCATATATATGTGTATTTATAAAATTTATTAATTAATAAAAAAAATCTGCATAGTTTCCCCTTAATTTTCTAAATATATACCAAGGAAGCTTAAAAATTATCTCTCAAATGTGCAAATTTATTCGAAGGTATTTAAATTATTTAAAATTTTATGTGTGAGTGTGTAACTATGGTCACCAAGAATGCTGATAGTTAGTTTCCCACAAAAAAAACATTTATTACCCAGTCGGCTTCTCTCCCTCCCTCCCTTTTATCATTGTACACCTGCGACAATGACCCCTCTACTAACTGCCCTCTAAGTATTGCCTTTCCCTTATCCTCAGCAAATGGAGCACAAAAATAACATCAACTCCTCTTATAATTACAAAAAACAACATTAAAAAGTAAAAGTAGGGCTATTGTTTGCCTGTGTTATTACAACAACAATGGTTTCTATCACAGGGGTATTGTGGGTAAAGTGTGTAATCTCCAAAGATGCACAGTTAGCATTGATTGTTGGACAAAATCTGACTGATTAATGATGGTGCTGACCCCCTGTGTAACTCTACCAGCTATACATGTTCCCTAAACAGGGGTCAGTTTGACAGCTGCTGGCTGATCCAATAGTGTGTGGAGAAATAAGCAATTTACTTCAGTCAGAGACTTCAGACAGAGAAATAAGCTCTTTACTTCAGATGGCAAAGAGTAACAGCAAGCACCAAGACAAAATTGTCAACTCTGATGTTTTATTTCAATCTTTAGAGTTCATATTTAGTGTGTTGTAATATTAACATCTGAATTTGAACTTAATTTGTCTTAATACTTCATTAAAACTCAAAATAATTATTGATATATTATGGATTTAAACATATAATTAATATACTTTATCCAAAAAGAATTTTTTTGTTACTTCTCTTTGAATGCTACATTGGTAAAGGATTTCTGTGTATGGACATAATCCCCATATATTTCATATTTATAACATTTCTAGTTGGATAAGCGTTAATCTATGATAACCACTTTTAAAGAAAAAATATCATAATATTAAAATTAATGTTAGATGTTTAATACAAAAAAAGTTTCTGTCTTTTATTTTAGGTATGTATGCTTTATTGTCAGGATGCGATTTCAAATTTCATTAAAAAAATAACAACATCTTGTAAATTCTTAAATCATACATGTATAAAGAACCAAATATAAAACTAGGAAACATTTGATGGAAAACTTCAGTGCAATCTCTTAATAAAGTTTTTCATACAATAAATACTTTGTGTAACACCTATCTGTTAAAATAACTGTATATATGTGTTGCTATAAAGAAATTAAACAAATAAGAATAAAAATACATCAATAGTTATTTTGTGTACAATAAAAATATGCATCTAGTCTTTTTAAAAGAACACCAACATGAAACTGGCCACAGCAAACAATATTTCTATGGCAAGTTTTCAGCCCTTTGACAGCTTCAAGTAAATAGCCTAATAATAGGAGATTAGTTGCAAGCTAGCCCCTTTGTGTACCCCTCAATTGATGGCTAGTTGTCCAAATTTCTTGAAATTGATTTGTTTATGCTGGATTTTCTGTGTAATTCAACAATTTTGTATGGATAGTAATCAGAGTCTGAAACAAACACTTTTAAAACATTATAAATGTTAATTTTGTGAATGTGTATTATGTACAGAAAGTGACCAGGATTTATGTGTAGACAATGTAATTACTGGACACTTAAAGGTGTGTGAAAGATGCTGTGTTAAATGTCTGTGTTGTTGAGATGGGGAGATCAATTACACCAGTGATTTTAGGGTAATTTTACACAGGATAAACACACACCATTTTGGACAGAAACTATTTGGATTATGAATTGGACTTGTATTCTGTATGTTGTTTGAATTTTTGTGTGTTTTAACTTGCAGTGGACTAAATGGGATGCTGACTGTGATATTGTTATCAGAACTTTGATGCCCTTGACCTCTTGTAAGGGTTTCCCAGCTGATGGGCTTGCAGAGAAATGAAACACCGTGGGCTATACCTTCCATTCTGTGACAACAACAACTTCTCATCCAGTAACTTATTTACATGTAAGTATGTTATGTTACACTTTTAGAACAACTATCTGTCAAAATGCTTATGCAGAGCCCAGTATGCTGTATATCTCAAAATTGAGATTTCAGCTCACAATAATGCATAGATAATTATATTTTCTTAGCTGATACAGATGAATATTGCAACTTATTATCATTCATTTCACTGTTTTCAAACCAAAAGTAGTAAGTATCTAGTGACTAGAAGTCAGTGCCTCTAATAGATGGCCCTTCATCGAACTACCACTGCTTTAATTTTGAGCAGCATCTATCACTTTCAATAACTAATTCTTGTATAAGTTCTTTCTTAATACTGTGGTGTCTGCGGAAAATACATATTCTTGAGAAAAAAAAGTAACATAACATGTTTGTGGTACTGTTTGGGTTATTTCAAAGGCACTCTCATTGTCAAAACAGGCACTGGACATTGTTACTAACATTGTTACTAACAAGGAGCGATTATTGATCTTTCTAAAGAGACAAAGGAAAACTATGATGTTCAATGATGATGAAGTTGATTAAATAATGGTTCTACAAGATACCACTGTTAGTTTTATATTTATTCAGTTGGAAACAACAGCTGTGGTCTGTTACATCAGCAAATATTCTATTTATTGTCCAGTTTACACTGAAGACTGCATTACAATGTCTGCAAGTTGACTTAATTTAGAAGAATGAAAGATGCTCAAGTAAGAGAGGGCTTTAACTGTCACAGGGGTCATTTTGATATTTTTTGATAGTTATATCTTAATATAAAGAAAGACCTTGATTTTTTAGCTGTCAAAGACAGTTAATTATGTCTTTTCAAGATGCAAATCTGTATTTTTCTATGGGAAAGCATGTAATTTTTTATGTTAATTTACAGAATATTTTCATTCAGATTTTGTTTACAATTGCTAAAATAAATAATGGAATTCTTCATCATGTCAACATTGTTTACAAAACAAACATGTCATGTGATAAAGCCCCTTAGTCCCCAATTGTTAAAAAAGTTAAAGATAAAAAGAATGATAGTTCTTTAACAGTTTACAGATCTATTTCAGAGATATGTGTGTCTTGAATAATTTGAAAATATTTTTCTAACTAAAAGTATTATATACATGGTTGACAGTAATAAACATTTTATTGGTAATGATTGACAGCTGTAATATAGTAATGAGACTTGTAATTGATTGACAGATACCTGTTGCCAGTGATGTAATGGACATAGATAGCCAAAGGGTTAAAGGGTCAAGTACCTAACAGACCTATACTAATTATATATCAAACTAATAGAAATGGGGCACCCTGCAGGGATTGCACAACTTTGAGTTTGTTTCTCACCTCTACCTTGTAAGATCATAGTACAAGTTGTACTTCAAATTAAATAGATTCAAGTTTGAAAAAAAACTTTTAAATTTAAGCGTTCAAATTTCAGTGTACCTTGTGTTCACATCTATATATTATGTTGTTAAGATATTGAAGTACCTTTTAATGTTTCATTTAAACAACTGTCTACATTCTTGCGAGAGGTTTGACAGAACCGGAATTATGTTAGTTTCAGTTTTATTGTTGTATTGCTAAGCAAGTTCCACACATTTATAGCTACACATAGTACAGACAACTTTACAACTAACAATGTAAATGTCTAAACAATTTTCAACTGGACACTAATGTTTATATCATATCTTAGAATCTGCTGGTATAGCATGGTCAACCGGCTATGACCTCTACTGACCCGCTCATACATAAACCACTGACAGGCTAGGTGATCACAAGGGGATATGTTACCATGATGGATTTTTGGAGCACATTTTCTCAAAAATTTGCAGCTTTGATTTTCTTTTTCAATAAATTTCAAAATACTTATCCTTGATGTTTATACATCAGGTCAGATGTTCAAATGAGGTCAAATGTGGAGCTAATTTAAATTACTATAATCTCACTGTAATAATGATTAAATTCTAAACAGGTTTTAGAAGGAAAAGCTTCTAAAAGTCAGACAGTAGATTTTTAGATTCTATTATCTACCATTGGTTGTGTAAGTCTAACAGTGCAGTTTTGATAAAAAATTGATATATTGCAGAATTTTGTAGAATTCTGTTGTTTTTGAAATCATGGCAATAGTGCAAATCAAACTGTACAACTACAAAAACTGATCATTCAGTATTCATCTGCATAAATTTTTTAAATCTTTAATTTGCATAAAATTTATTGAACAACATCAAGGCCCATTCCTAATCAATTAGGTGTTTCGAGTACTTATTTCGAAATGAAAAATGTAAACCAAAGAAAGTATTTCAATAATTTTTACGTTTAAAAAAAAACCTTCACACAGTTTAACTCCCCTTTTAGTTTATACAAATTTATTTTAGTTCGATTGTGTTGGAAGTTATAAGCTTATTGAAACATTCTTGAACTAACCATTACTGAGCAATGAGTAACTTACCATTACTGAGCAATGGGTGTAAAGATTTTTGCTCATGAAAACATGGCTTTGCAACAATGTACTTAATCTTAATCTACATGTCCCTAAACCTAATCTTGAGTTTTACGGTAAATAACTTTCTTATTCTGGAACTTAAATCTGGAATAATATACCACTCTATGTATGTCAGTCTGAAAGTACTGAAAAATTCAAAAAAGCTTACATAAAGTGGAAGTACTCTGGTTAAACCAGTACCATAGTATTATATTTGTATAATTATGTTTACTGCAGTTTTCATTGTTAATGGTTAATATTTATGTTTAGTTTGTCATTGCATTTATAACTAGTTAATACCATGTTTTATAATATTACATTGTCTTTTGTATAATTATTTGATGTAAATATGTTGTAAATATGTTGAGGTACATATGGAAGATCGTTTTGGCGAATATGTAGCCTCGTTAAATAAAGCCTTTATTATTATTATTATTATTATAATGTATGGCTCATGATGACTTGCTCTTGATGGGATTTGAATTCATGCAGCCAGCAAGCCTTAGAGTACTAGTCTGACATATTGATCGAAATGCTAACCACTGGGCCATGCCACCACTCTAACTTTTCCTTCTGACAGAATCACGTTCATTTTCATTGTATGCTGTCAGTACTGGGTTCTTCCCACGAGCAGACTTTATAGAAATAAAATCATCATAATTAGTGCTAAAATAAATGCATTTAATCAAAGCAGCTTTTTATTATCAAATATTTAATTGTTGCTTATTGAACCAGATATTTGGAAGACACAATCTTTACAGTTTAAAACTCTTTCTCTAAACCTTCAAAGTTTTTTTCGCAGAGTCTGTGTATTTTGTAGAGGGCCCTTGTTAATTGCAATTTATCAGGTATGACTAGAACATCTTGACATAATATAGCTAATGTTGCCCTGTACAGATATTTAAGTCAAAGGATTAGTGAGTAAGACTTGTGGATAATCCATATAATACCAGGATAATCATTGATACCCTCTTAGACATCAGGGGGAGTAACTTACAATGAACTTATGAAGTCAAGGGAAGTAACTAATACATTGTAGCAAAATTATAAAGTCCATACACAGTTCTTGCCCTTGGGCCAAAAAAATGTAATTGCATTTTTTAAATTCTCTCAAAATAAGAAAATAGTATTATGATACTTTGCTTTTATTTATATTTTAAAATAACATTAATAATTTTCTGCCTACTCTCTTTTATGACTTTAAACCAGCTTGTCAGTATGAAAAGTAATAATGATCACTGAACGTGCAGACACAGTGCAGGCAAAATGTGCACAATGTTTAAAAGTAATTGCTTTGTACTGACATTTTAATAATAATCATCATAAAATCCTTTTGTATTTGGACATTTTTCAACAATAACCAATCAAAAAAGGAATATAATTGCTGGAGGCACAGGTAAATTATTGATTGATAATTGGTAGAGAGGGCACCTGTTCTAGCAGGTGCCCCTTTCCCAGCTTCTGTAGCATTGTCACGCTGCAGACTCCTTGAACCGATATCAATAATGATGTATCTTAAAACATTTATGTAAATCACTTAGTTCATTATTGAATAATGATCTTGATCTATTGTTATCCATTAATAAATTTCCCATACAGAACTCAGTCACTGAAAATTACTGTTTAATATCATAACTGTTCTGTATTCTGAGTTGTTTAATGTCTGACTATGGTATAATGTTACAGGAAAGCATATGTTACCATGTTTGATTATCAAAGCTAACTACAAATGTTGAAATGTTACAGACCATAATTTAATTTTTTTGTTGTTGATTTAACAAACATGGTTCCGACTGTTTAATCAAAGTCAAATATTTAACACTGTATTGGAATTTTAAATCTGTTATCCTGACCAATCATTGGAACTGTGGAATTATAAAATTGGAAAGATGGCAGTTAAGATTACAGTCATTATACGATTATGCAGAAATACCCAACACCTGGTGCCAAAGGGGCAAAGGATATCTGAAAATTTACAGTGCTAATTTCTTTGTTTTGTTCAGAATGGTAACTTTTGACCCTGTATTGATGACAGGTGTCTCTAACATTGAGTGACAATATTTTGGCTCCAGAAGCTGCTTTAGACTGTGAATTTACTGGTATTGGATGATATAAACAAACTGTTATTGTGACTAAAACTGATGTATTATGGATAAAAACCACCTATATCTATCTCAGTTGTTGGACAATGCTTGGATACATTTCGTTGCAGGTAAATTAATCTCTGAGAGTAATTACTAAATAGTCATAGTCTTATCCATTTTCTCTCAGAATAAAATTGATTGACTTATATTTCTTTGATTGGCATTGATATAAAAAAAAAATGGGGTGTGGTTGGGTTTTTGTTTTTTTATGTTATTTATCCACTTTATTCATCATCATAATATAATAAAATCTATATCAATTAAATTAAGGGGGGAAAAACAACATAAAATATTTACAAGAATATCCTATTTTATAATAATTAAAAGCTAAAATAGAAATCCTACATGGTTAAGAACCACTTAGTTGAAATAATAGAAGCAAAAATTTATGT